TATAATATTATAAATTATAATACCACATAAAATTAATAATGTTATAAGTTATAATAACATGTAGAACTGAACCGAACCTAGCTATTGCATTTTCATTTTAATTTTTCTCGGTAGTAAAACAATAATGCTAGAATATGTTCATTCTAAAAGTTTCATTGTCAAAACCATGAAAAAAGGAAAAATTGTATGTGAACCCTGTTTGGCTGCTAAGAAAAATAGGCGATCATTAATGCAAAACCAAAGTAAAAGAAAAAGGAACAACGAAGAGTTGGATCAAGTGGTAAGTGGCTTGTTCTAGTTTAAGTAAGGTTTCGAGTTCGAGATCTTGTGCACGCAGCAGTCCCGTTGGGAGACTCACCCACCATTTTTAGGTGCGCGACGCGAGTCGGGTTTGGATTAGTCGGGTTGAAACTCCGGATATCGGGAAGGAAACAAAAAAAAAAAAAAAGGAGTAAAAGAAAGAGAAAAAGTGGGAAATTGCTAGATTAATGAAGTAACTGAATCGCTTTGTTTTTACATTTTGCGTCTCTTGTCACCTTGTCTAACTAAAAAGCCAAAATGCAGAACTCAGTTTCGTTTTTTCCTTTCAACTTTCCCGGGAACCAAACAAAAAGCAAAACGAAAAAGAAAAAGAGAGTTAATATTACCTCACAAATCCCGTTCACGAGGTAACCGAAGAAGAACCCAGAAGAGCAAATGAGAAATTGTTTCCACTTGGGTTTATCCGATAACGAAATCCCGAACAAAGACCGTGCTTGCTCTTGGTTCTTCATTCTTGAACAAAGAGAGACACCCAATTGAACGAGAATTTGAAAATTGACGCTGGATCAAGAATGCAAAAACATCAACTTGGTCCCAAATTCAGTTGCATGTTTGACTTTGGGAAGGAGTGGAATAAAGAAATCCTCGAAAGGAAAAGATCTTTCGGGTATCGATTTGGTTACGTTAACCAAATCTCAAAGTAGGGTAATTTGTGCGTGCATTCGATGCCTCTGCTAATTCATAAGAGAATGAGGAGATGAAGATATTAAATGAAAGCAGGGATTTTTCTGTGAAGAATTTCTTGGATTTTCATATGTGGAGTATGGTGGACCCTTCTTCATAAAGAAGGCTTTGCCGCTGGCGCTCTATGGTTTGGTACCGTGTGAATGGCGTGATTAGTGATACGACAGAAATAAATTTCGAAACGGAAAAGAGAGAAGAAGTCTCAAAAAATGGTAACCTGCGTATTTGATAATTTACCAACGAGTTATGATTCAAATGAAATAAATTTAGTTTTTTTCAAATAAAGACTTGAATTTATTTTTTTGATTAAAAAATAATTACGAAAGAAAAAATGAATATTAAAGAAAGTTTTCTTTACGAGTCCTAAGCGATAAAACTCTAGACTAATTCAAACAACATATTAAAGATTTAATAAGAAAAAACCTAGAATTACCATTGCATTAAGAATTCTAATTAAAACCATAAAATACCTTCTACAAAAGGTAACATCTTCATCTCAAAATCAATGGCATTGGACCAGCAATAAGGACTAAATTACTCATATTTTGTTGGGTGGTGTTACATATACAACCTTTTTATATTATCTTTCGATATAACTTTCATATATCGTTAAATTATTAAATACATTTAATATTATAAATTTCATGTAAATAAAAATGATCAATCATTTAAATAACACATCAAGTCGTACCAAAAAATAGTATTAAAAAGTTATTCCAAAATCATTTTTCTATTTTATTAATAACTTAAACAATTTAATTGTAATTTTTGTACTAAATTAAATAAGAGATTTAAATTCAAATTACACTTAATATATGTAAATAAAATTAATTAAGAAATAAAAAAATTAGTTTTTATTATACAAACTTAAAATAAATAAATAAATAATACCCATTTTCTTCTCATAATGATGGAGGCAGCACAAGAATACAACAAATCTTCATTAACCTCTGCCATCCAAATATCTAATATTGTAATGTAACGGTTGGAACTACCGTTGCCATCCACATGATGTATCAGATCATCTCTCTGCCCGCTCCTCACCCGCAGGTCCTGCTGTACCATTCAAATTGATTCAACATTTATTTATTATTTTTGTTTTTTTTCGTTTTTTAGCAGAATCAGGCCATTACGCCCAACCTAACTGGGTTGAGACCTGACTCATTGTAGACACGTTGTTCTCCATGCCTTGTAAGTTGTAAATTTCAATGGGCAAGGAATTGGCCTTTGTACGCCCGTTTAACATGGCAAGGATGAAAACAGAGCGCAGAGGGGAAGCTTGCATTTGCATGTGATAAAATGTCTAATTCATTTATATTTTCAAAACTAGGGATGACAATGGGTTCTACAGGGCTGAATCCCCTCCCCATCTTCATTCCAGTTCATGACAGATATGGAGATTTTTGTTTTGGATAAAAAATTTCTTCTGTCTTATCTTTCCAAGGAATGGTAGATTCTTGTGAGTATATAAAATTTTCTTCAAATATTAAAATTATAAAATTATATCTCATTATTTTTAGTAAATAAATTTTATAACACTACATAAAGAATAATTTATAAGTCATAAAAATAAAAACTTACAAAAATAAAAAAACATGTAAAAAATTTCACAAACACTATAAAAAAATATATTACATAAAGAAATAAAACAAGAGTAGAAATTTAAAACAAGCGAATGCATACAATTAAGCAAATGCATACAATTGAATAAATCCATAAAAAACATCATAAAGAGAATAAAAATTTGAAAGAAAATTGGGTTTTATAATTTTACAAATATATTATAATTTATAAAAACATTAATCTAGATTGAGTTGGATAAAAATTAATCATAATTTATGTTTTTTTTGTAAATATATTATAATTTATAAAAAAAATAAATTCATTTCTTTATTATATATAAATCCCTAGAGGGAGTGGAGCAGATAAAATTCACTACAAAAATTTTACGGTAAAAAACTTGCCGTTATCCTTACCCCATAAAATATATATTCTTTGAATCTCTGGCGAGCGAGCTATAGAGCAAATTGCAATCCCTATTCAGAACTAATATAATGGACATGAGTTATGATGCAGCCTGTCCCTGCTTCTCATCCACATATAAATGGCATGTGTTATTCCTCTTTGAATTGGCAAAATCGGCTCAATAACAGATCACCCAACAGCTCATCCCTCAATTAGTTCACCATCCCACATTCTTGCATTGGCTAAATCAGCTCAATAATAATCACCTAACAGCCCATCTATCAATAGTTCACCATCCAACATTCAACTTCAAAAGCCAGCCCTTCTTCTTGTTCTTCAAACTTGCTCCCCCCTCCTGTACCCACATCTCTTATAAATATCTCCCTCTTGTCCTCTGCTACCCAATCCACAATCTCCCTACTTTCCCCACTGATCCATGATTTTGCTATCCTAATAACCATTTCATTCTCAATCTCATCATTTCTACCATGATCTTTATTTCTATCTAACTCTTCTTTGAAGAAGTCCAAAAGCAGTTTGTCCAAATTGTTTTTATAGGTCCCAAATGAACTGATCGCGTTGACATGATCCAGCAGTCATTTAGCCTTTTCTTCAACATCATCTGTCTCTTCCTCTCTGGCATCGTTGTTGTCACCCTCTTCTTCTTTGACATCCATTAATTCTTCTAGATTGGTAGGATCCACTTTGGCCAGACACTCGAAATGCCTAATCTTTTGCTTAAGCTTCTGCAACATCATAGACAGTTTAGGATCATGTTTGAAGTACTAATTGATGTTGGAAATTAATGACAAAGAAAAGAGACAGAACACACTCTCCATATTTGCAAGGCTTTGATTGAAAGAGGATATTGGTTCTTCATCTTCTTCACATTGGAAACCAAGCACTAAAACTGGGCTCTGCCGTTCTTCCTCCTCATAATCCAATTCCCCCTGTTTATGTTCATCTCATTAGCACTTTTTCTTTTTTAAATAAGTAAATAAACAAAGTGCAATCTACTTGATCATTTCAAAAACTGTTTCTTTATAGACGATCATTAATGCAAAACCAAAGTGAAAGAAAGAGAAAAAGTGGGAAATTGCTAGATTAATGAAGTAACTTAATCGGTTTGTTTGTACATTTTGCGCCTCTTATCACCTTGTCTAACTAAAAAGACAAAATGCAAAGCTCAGTTTCGTTTTTTCCATCAACTTTCCCGGGAACCAAACAAAAAGCAAAACGAAACAGAAAAAAGAGTTAAAATTTCCTCACAAATCCCGTTCATGAGTTAACCGAAGAAGACCCAAAAGAGCAAATGAGAAATTGTTTCCACTTGGGTTTATCCGATGACCAAACACCGAACAAAGGCCGTGCTTGCTCTTCGTTCTTCTTATTGAACAAAGAGAGACACCCAATTGAATGAGAATTTGGAAACTGAAGCTGGATCAAGAATGCAAAAACATTAACTTGGTCCCAAATTCCAGTTCCATGTTTGACTTTGGGAAGGAGTGGAATAAAAACAAATCCTTGAAATGAAAAGAAACTTTGGTATCGGTTTGGTTACGTTAACCAAATCTTAAGTACGGTCGTTTGTGCGGGTATTCGATGCTTCTGCTAATTTATAAAAGAACAGGGAAATGAAGATATTAAATGAAAGGGGGGATTTTTCTGTGAAGAATTTATGGGATCTTCATATGTGAAGAATTTCTGTGACATTTCTGGGATTTTACCGCTGGTGCCCTATGGTTTGGTGCCGTGTAATTAGTGATATGTGTGAAATGAATTTCAAAAGGAAAAAAGAGAGAAGAAATAGCAAAAAAATGGCCACCTACAAAACCCATGTACTTGAGAATTCGCTGGGCATTAAGAGTTGCAATTAAAGCCGTGAATTACCTTTCACAAAAGGCGGCATTTTCATCTCAAAATCAATGGCATTGGACCAGCAATGGGGACTAAATTACCTTATATTTTTATCAATAATTTAAGTAGTTCAAAAATAATTTTTTCTTTAAATAAAGCAAAAGATTCTAAATTAAAATTATATTTCATGCAAATGAAATTGATTAAGGGATGAAAAAAAAAA